GAGGTGAGGAGGTGAGGAGGTGAGGGAGGTGAGGAGGTGAGGGAGGTCAGGAAGTCAGGCGGTCAGGAGGACCGGAGACCAGCTCCTGCTGGTTGAGCCTTGAGCCCTCCTCCACTGAGGGAGATCCACCTGCAGGAGCCGCCCTCAGGGCCCAGAGAAAAGGGACCCTGGAGCTGAGGACGAGAGGGCAGATGTGAGGGGAGGCCTCGGGGTCTGCCCACCACTGGGGAGGCGGCCTGGAACATGGTCGCGGCGCAGGAAGGAGGCAGGTGCCCACTGGACCAGGCCGCCCTGCCCAGGCCCTGCCCCTGCCCCAGGGCCCCGCCGGTGCCCGGGTGGCCTCACCTCTCCACCGTCTCGCAGAACAGCACGATGACCTCCTGCTGCACGTAGTACTCCCTGGGGGACTTCACGGGCACCATGGCCGACACGTAGCTGCAAACAGTGGAGGTGAGTGAGCGCTGCCCCAGGACAGAGGGCTCTCAAGTGAAAGCCGAGTGAGACCGCTGGCTGCAGGTGGCCCGTCTCAGCAGCTGCCTAAACCCACGCCCCCAGCAGCACTGTTCATATTTTAAGCCAAAGCTCCTCCCAGGGTCAGGCCTCGACTGGAGCTTCCTTGGACTCCCCAGCCCTGCCTGGCCTGGAACTGCCACTGTCCCCACACTGAGTGAGCACGTGCATGCAGGGCGTGCAAGGCCAGTGAACGGCGGGGGCAGGGGAGGGGTGGGAGGGTTACTGAGTGGTCCGACCATTCCCCACGTGAGAATATTTTTTCTTTCCTTCTAAATCACCAACTCTAGTCTTTCTTGTTAGGAAAGCTCACTTGGAAAAATCTGGAGCAGAGAAAAGGAGGCAGAAAGGTTTAAGCTTGTTTGTGGCCAGCCCCACTTCCTAGAGATCCGCCTGTGACGTCATGCCTGATTCCTCCTGCGGTCCACAGGGTACAAGCTGGCCACATTTTATTAGCCAGGACCACCATGGACAGGCTTTGGGGTCCTGCTCTTTCTTGTCTTCGCATCTGTGGACACCGTGCAGGCCCCACTCCACAGTCAGGGACCCTCCAGTCTGGAGGCCCTGGGGTCGCAGGGTGAGCAGGGAGGGATGGGGGAGCCCCACGGAGCTCGGTGGGGGTGGCGGAGGGGTGCCATGCGATCTGGCAGATCCCTAAGCTGGAGAGATGTCCCCACCCTCACCCCCTGGAGCTGGGGGGCCCCCAGGCACCAGAGCAGTGGCCACCTCATCTTTGTCACACTGTGTCCCAGGTCCGAGCACAGAGTAACGTGCTGGGGGTTGTGGAGCAAGCCCGACGGGCTGGTGCAGACACAGCTCTAAGGCAGAGATGGAGGTCGGGGCGGAGGTCAGAGGTGGCCCGAGGGCTGCGGATGACTTTCACCTGCAGGGACCTCCTGGGGCTTTAGCACTGGGGTGCACCAGGAGCAGGGTGGTGGGGGCAGAACTGGGGTCTCCTTTACCCCTGGGTCTCCTCTGCCTGTCTCCCTGCTGCCCGTCCCCCCAACATCGTGCCCCCCAGGGGTTAACCCCACCCTCTGAGGGCCCCAGAAACCCCTGTGGAGTTTCCCAGCGAGAGAGAGCACAGACCCGCGGAGCAGCCCGCACCCGTGACGTAAAGGCCGCGACCCCCACGGCTGCGAACCCCGGGTCAGGCACCTCAGCTCGAACTCGGCGAACAGCACGTCGAAGTGCCTCAGCGCCTCCCGCATCTTCTCCGTGTACGTGTTGAGGTCCCGCAGCGCCTGGTCGCGGAGGGCGCCCCGCACGTCCTCCAGGCTGCGGGTCAGCTCCTTGGCCAGCGGGCGCATGGCCATGCTCTCCAGCTCGCGGTTCATGATGATGGAGCCGGCGGCCAGGCACTGTGGGAGGCAGAGCACGGGTCAGGGAGGCCCGGGGCCGGCGGCCACCCCGCGGCTGCACTGCCCACGAGTGGAGTTCCAGAACTCTCCATGGGCCAATGCTGAGAAAGCCACCCCCACTGTCCCCTGAGAAACTGTGGTCACCCTCAGGACGGGAGAGCAGAACCGTGGCCTGAGGCTCGTCCCTGAGACCCTCCCTGGCCTCCCTCCCAGGAGCCCCTGGCCTTGCATCTCTGGCTCCTGCTCTGGGGCACCTGCTCCCTCCTGGCTTCTATTAGAGGCACAGAGAGGGAGGCCCTGGGGGTTGGGGGATCCATGCAGGGGCCACCCGGCCACGTGACTCCTGTCTCCTGCCCACCAGCTTGCAGATGCGCAGTTCTGGCCATCCTCCAGGCACACAGCACACAGAGCTGACCAGGGCTCCCCGGTGCCTCAGACCTTCCTAGGGATTGGACGCCTCGTGTCCATAAAGCCCCCCTGCATCACCTCAGGATCCCACAGCTGCCCCTGCCCCCAGGACCCACTCTGCAGAGGTAAAAACTGAGGCTGGGGGGTGAGACACCACCCCCCAACTAGAGCCACAGTGAGGAAACCCCAACCAGGTGGTTCGGAGGAGCCAGGTGGGGAGGGTGGACACGGGGATGGGATGAAATGGGGGAACATGTGGGCACAAGGGCCACGCAGTGTCTGGTAAGATGGGGTTGTTCCAGGATTCACCGAGAGCTGAGGCAGGCAGGATGGGAGAGGACAGAGGAGGCATGGACGTCAGACTACGAGCCTCATGCCCCTAATGTCCCGAGAGCATGGCCAAGGGGGGACGTCTAGGTATCCCATGGGAAACTGCGGGCTTACGTCTCACTCCTCAGGCTCCTCCTTGGGAGGTGAAGCTCAAGATCTGGGAGTTATCATGAGTAGGGACCCAGGTGCAGCTCCCCCGGCCCCCGCATGGGGATAAACAGTCCTGTGGGTGGGGCAGGGGGCGCACTGCTCTCAATATTAGTATTACTGCCGTGAAGAACGGCTCTCAGGCCCTAGGTGTCTGGGGACCTGAGACCCTCATAGAAATCACATGTGAAACCTCATGTCTGTATCTGCTTGTGTAGTTTCGGGGGAGAAGGCTCTTGCCTCCCCGCCCCTGCGACCCTAACAGGCTCAGCGGCATCTGCAGCCCCTGCAGATGGAGGCCCTGGAGGAGGAGACGCGGGGCCTGCACTACGGGTGCACGTGGGTGAGCTCCACAGGGGAACGCTGGACGACGCCCACGCCATGACCCCAGCCCCGGGCGGCCGCCCACTACCTCGGCGCCAAACCACAGCTGGCCGGCCAGGTTGTCATGCCGGATCTCCTCGGGGAACTTGACACAGAAATCCCGTGGGGCGCGGTCCTGGGGGATGCACACGTCCATGATCTGGTTAATGATGTTTAACACGTTGTCCTGAAACAGAAGCGGGAAGTGCGCTAAGACGCAGCTGCAGCAGGTGGCTGGCAGGCACTGCTCGGAAACAGGAGCCGTGCACGCCAACATGATGAGGGACGCGGTCGCACACGCGGGCCTGCTCTACAACTGCTATGAGAAGCTCGAGCATCCAGAAGTATCTGAGTACAGAGCAAAACCCTTGCCTCACCTTCCCCAAGGCCAGGTACCTGGAGCACCTGCCACAAGGGCGGGGGGCACTTCCCACGCCACCACGTCACCATGCAGACAGCGCGTCGCCCGCTGTACCGGCTCTACCTTCCCCTGCTGACCCGCACCTGGGCCCCCTGCAGCCTCGGCCACCGTGACCGCCCCAAACCTCTCTCTGAACACCTGTGCACAAGTTTCTTAAGACAGAGCGAGGTGGACAGACACACAGACAGCTGATTTTCACTGCCGATGGACAGCGTTGCTTGGATTAACATAAGCCTGGGTCATCCTGGGGTGGTCACAACACAGTCAAGACGTGCCGTCGGACGGACACCACTGCAGATGGCAGGCAAGACCAGGCTTCCCAGACCCGTTTCACGGCACCACTCCTCGCCCAAACTCGTCCTGTTCTTTAAACATCTGCTCTTTGTTCAGCACAATTACAAGAACACTGAAAGTTCAGTTTTCTCTTTAATTTCTTTAATTAATTAATCTCTCTAATTTCTTTATCTCCAAAGATGAATGCACATTCATCACAGGGAAACTGGAAACCTGGGGAAGTAGAGGAGGAGGGGGAGGATGTCCTTGGAACAGCAGCTGCAGGTGGCAAGTGTCCAGTCAGTTCTGGTCCCCGGTGGCCTGTTTCCAATCAGAGCTGAGATCATCTGTGTGCATAATTGTGTATTTGTTGGGACGTGTTATTACAGCTTTTCACAAATCTAACTTGTGACGGTAGCTTCGTGGGATTCCAGCACACGGACCGTCCTATTAGCTCGCTGCTTCCTCCTCTGCTGGACATTTACGGTATTTCGACTTCTTCAGCACGATAAATAACGTAGTCACCCTTGTGGTGCACAATGGTCTGAATTTTGGGTTAGTCCCTCAGAATCCACTCGTTTCTGGAAGCAGCATTACAAAGCCGAAAATAAACTGCATTTGTAGGCTCTGATTACATTCTGCCCAACTGCTTTCCAGAACGGTGGCGCTGACTGACACACTCAGTCCGCGGCTTTGCGTCTCAGCGCCCTCCTTTCCGCCGTCCGAGGCTTGAGCTTCATTTTTTTCAGGAAGTAGACGTGAAAAACCACTGTGACCGGGAGCATGACATTCTAACACAAGAAGTCGAGGGGCTAAACTCTGAAGGAAACTCAGCTCCACAAGGAAAACGTTCCCTCGCCCACGTCCAGCTCCAGGGCAGTCTTCCTCTCTCAGACTCACCCTGCCCAGGCTGCCCAGCACCCAGCTGAGTTTCACCCTACCTGGCCAGGCCGTGTGACGTGCACTTACAGTACCCAGTGGGCGGGCATGAGCGGCTTGGGAGCAAACAGAGCCCCTTGCAGGGAGCCCTGTGCTGCGGGGGAGGGGGGGCAGGTGCAGGAGCTGGGGGCAGAGAGGCTGCCTCGCTGCAAGCGGCCAGCATGCCCAGGCGCAGGAGGACAGTCTTTGGTGGCCCAGCAGCCAGGAGAGCCGCCCGGCCCTCCAGTCCCTGGGTCCCCCTGAGAGATGGGAATGTGCCCCTCCTGCCCCCCAAGGATTCTGTACGTACCTGAGTCTGAGTCCCTCAAGGCTTAAAGCGCAGGGTGGGGACATTTGCCTCCCCAGACCCTGTCTGCTCTGTGATCTGGGAAGCACACCCCCGCCCCCAAATCCCCGAGGGGAGCGGCTCTAGCCAGACTCGTGGCCACAGTCCACCGAGAAGGTTCCGGAACTTGGTCAATGACCCTGATCGTCACTCGACAAAAGCTGCTTCTTGCCACGTGCCCTGGCGTGGGTAGAGTCTCCCGGATGTTTGGTGAACCGGGAGAGTGTTTTCCGTAGGGTATCCGGGACCTGCACGTCCTGCAGCAGGAGGTCGCCGTGCCGAGAGGCAGCGGAACAGGAGTCCCGCCACCCTGCGAGCTCTGCGGTGGCCCCGCAGGCCCAGCCCCTTGCCGGTGCTGGCTGAGGCCCTGCTGGCCCCTCATAACCACCTCCCACTCGACTCCACTGTCTACGCTCCAAGGGCGTCCTGTGAACTGGCGCCTTCTAACCCACTTTCCCCCACGCTGTCCTGCTCGGGACCGCCCCTCCTGGGGCTCTGGTTTGCAGCGCCTGGCCCAGGGCCCCTCCCGAGACGTCCCCCCCGGGGCGCAGCAGGCCGGCCCCTCCGCCACCGCTGCTCACCTGGCAGGAGCGGAACTGGCTGACGAGCAGCGTGCAGCGCTGGGGGTCCCTCCGCCCGTCCAGGCTGTCCAGCTCGGCAGCCACCTGGCTCAGCTCCTCGTCCGCGTGGTAGAACCGGGCCAGGAGCTGCGGGTCCGACCGCTGTGGGGAGGCAGGGGAGGTGAGTGGCCGCCCCAGGTGAGCCTTGTCCCCAGCCATGGGTGGGGGACCCTGTCACCCCGCCGGCTGCCCTGAGGCCCCCTGGGGCCCCCTGGGGCTGTGGGGTCCTGAGGACCCTCCGCCCCTGTCAGGGGATGATCAGAGGCAAGGTGCTGGGGAGGGTGGGGCTGGGGCCACTGGACGGAAAGCAGTTTTGTTCATAAAACCAAACTGCGATGATAAAGCCAGCCACAAGGAAGGGGCCCACCCCACTCCCTAGCCTCTCCTCAGCCCTCAGCCCCGTCTCTACCATGCTGGGAGACACCAGTGCCTTCCAGCAGGAAACCCTTTTCTCAGAGGAACCCCTTTTCTCGCCTCCCACAAAATGCACAGGGGGGTCTGATTCTGGGTCTTGAGGCACAATCACCCCACTTGGAGCGAAGTCCCAGCTCCCTGTGCCTCCCTCGGACCCAGTGCCCATGCTGACCGCCCCTGCTCTGCCCCAGCTCCAGCCCCACCAGCCACGGGCCATCCTGTCAACACACTGGCTCACTTCTGCCCCAGGGCCTTTGCACTGTGCTCCCTCCGGCTGGGGTGTCAATGGCTTGTCCCCTTGGATCTGAGCTTCCAGAATTAGGACAAACCCACGGTAAAGGCGACCAAGACCTCAAACATGTCTTTATAAAAGGCACCCTTCATGGACAGACGAGAGAAGGACAAATGAGAAGAAAGGCACCGAATCAACCCCTGGTTCCCTCGCCCTTCTACCTAAGAAGCAGCACATGGCTGGGCTGACATTCTGATGAACATAAAATTACTTATTTTTGTAGTTTCTCTCAGCTCATTGCTTGATGGAGCCTGTGTTCCGCCACCCTTCCCCCTACGTGGCCTGTCCCAGGGTGGCTCTTCCTCTGCTCAGGGTCTTGGTCATCAGTGCCTGACTCTCAATGCTGGCCCAGGCCCCTGGGGTGCAGAGGAAGCCCCGCCAGTGAGGCTGAGCAGACCTGGGGTGGGGACTTCAGTGACTAGCCCAGCAGGTGGATGTGTGACCCAGGCAGGACAAATGGGAGGCCTTCCCAGAATTTTTCACAGGAGAGCTGTGGGGATTCACCCATCCATCCAGCCAGCCAGGCAGCCTGAGCACCCACTCTGCCAAGGATGCAGGGCGCTGGGACACAGCCGGGAACGGGGCAGGCCCAGATTTTCTGTCACTGGCATCTCCTGCGTTCCCTGGGCCCTCCACAGGCTGCAGCCAAGGGCAGAGGTAACACCCAGCTCAAGAGCTGATCCCCATCACCGCAGCCCACTGGAGTCCTTCTGGCTCCAAACCCACCGGCTCCCCCCACAGTGGGGGGCATGGGGTGGGGGGAGGGCAGGAAAAGCAGGGACATGGCGGGCGGGGTCCCACAGCAGATGGCTGAGGCCCTCCTCATGGAAACCTGCCTAGGCAGGTGACACACGGAGCCTTCCCTGCCTTGGTTCCTGCAGCCCAGCAAACAGGTTGGGGCCTGAACTGAGGGTGCTGGGTAAGGACGCCTCCAGGGAGCTAAGTCTCTGCTGTGAGAAAATGGTTGCCAAGATGAGAACAGCTTGGGCCATCTTTGCCCTGACACCTCCAACCCCGTCACAAACACGGGGACTTTGGCTGTGCTTGGCCCCTGCTGTTGGCCCCCTGGGGTCGGCTGTGCCACGATGGAATGTGCGCAGAGGGCTGTGCGCGCACACACCCACACATGCATACACAAGCACCCACGCACACACATGGCTTCCTCTGTGTCCTGGGGAGGCTGACAAACAACTACCACGTGTGTACATGTGGGGCTGTGTGGGGGTCATGCATGTGTGCACGTGTGTGCCTATGTGGACGCACATAAGTGCATGTGTGTGTGCAGGAATGTGTGTACACAGGTTTGCACCTACAAGCAGGTGTGTGTCTGTACCCGTGTATACATATGTGAATGTGAGTGCACAGCCATGAGAGTGTGTACTCTACACGTACATGGGTGTCCATGTGTACATGTGTTGTACAACTGCACTTGTGTGTGAGTGTGTGTCAGTGTGTGCATGCATAAACGTGTGTGTGCCTACCAGCATGGGTGTGTGTGCCTGTGACTTGGGGTGGGCGTGGCATAATCTGCCATCCAGGGTCTGTGCAGAGACAGACCCTCTGGGCTCACCTAGTTTTGATTTCAGTAAATTAAAGACTATATGACCAGACCTACAAGTGTGTTGTCCATTTGCAAAAAGAGCGCTGTAAACACACACACACAGAGCAGAAATTAGAGAACTCAGAAAAAAAATTTTTAAACCTAAATTACCTTTATTTTTAAGTAATTATTTTTAAATAAAGATAATTAAATTATCTTTATTTTGCTGAAACACAAAAGGCCTTCGCAATTTTAGAATTTTAGCTTTCCAGCCCCTACAGGACTGGTATTTCCAGCAAAGAATGAAAGGTCCCCTTTGTGTGTCCCGGCGGGGCCGAGGTGCGGAGGAGACCCCCACTGGCTGTGTGAATCACATGCACCGGGAGACCCCAGGCGCCGTGGAGACAAACCTCCAGGCAGGGGTCCCAGGAAACAAACCGACACAACTTACAAAATCCAACTTGTGGTGACTCACAGAATCCACAAGGAACAATGTGGTGCTGCATTTCCATTTCTGAGCACGCAGGGGGTGACGTGAACTCGGCAGTCTGAGCCCGCTCATCACTTACATCTCTATCGGCCCAGCGGGGCAGGTCACCCTCAGGCCAGCTAGAAGGCAAGACTGACGGCCTGAGGGGGACAGTTTCTCTCTTTGAGTCAGTCAGCCTCATTCAACAACGTTTTAAATTAAATTTTAAATCGGACTTTTAAATGTCCGTACATAAAACGTCCACAACAAAGAGAATCGATTGCTGTAAATAGGAAGTACTCACCTTACTTTGAAATAAGAACTACAAGAGAATAAAACTGAACCCAGTAGAAGTGTCTTTTTTGGCACACGATGTCAGTATTTGCTCAAAAATAAATTCACAGCAGTGACAGTTTTCACTGCTACACAAAAATAAAACTCGCGAAGACAGCCTCTAGCTTAGGAGGTTAGGTGACTAGCAGACAGGCAGCCTCGAGAAGGCGGGGAAGACACACAACGTTGCGGCTCCGGACACGGCCGGAGTGCACAACTGACTACTTCAGAGCTAGTTCTGTAAAGGTGATGAAATTATTCATTCATTCAAACACCTGTTCTGTGAAGTAGGCTGGGGATGTGGATGTGAGCTCAGGCCCTGCCCACAGGTGCCCGTCTGAGCCAGGCACATGGCCATGTTGGGGGTCCCCAGCTGTGGTAAGGCTGGCCAACTGGGCTGGGGCAGAGCGGGGTGTGGACCAAGGGTGTCCCCAGCCCTGTGCAGGGCACCGCTCGTGCCTCATGGGGCACACCCCAAGCCCTCTGTGAGGCAGCCCCATCCTGACCCAGATGAAGAGACTAAATAAAGCTCATGAAGGAAACTAACATCCAAGGTCACATCGGATGACACGGCGGAGCCAGTGGTCAGCCCAGGTCCCACTCTAAGGACACTCAGCGGTCCGGGTGGGAAAGAGGAAGAGGAAGTAAGGGTGACCCGGGGGGGATCCTTCTCAGGCCTCTTGCTTCCCAAGTAGGAAGTAAGCCCTACAGCAGGAGAACCCCAGAGGGTGCCTTGTCTCAGCCAAGCTCCAGGAAGGGGACAAGAGGAGGAGGCAGATGGCGGGACAGGTGGGTGAGGCAGATGGCAGGACACGCGGCACGGCTAGGCCAGAAAGGACCAGCCCCCTCACACCCCCAGGGACGGAGAGAGCCCCAGCCCCCAGCCCCCTGACCCCACTCCAGCAGCTGTCCCAGGACACGAGCTGGGCTCCAAACGCTGGTTCCCAAGACCCACGTGACCCTCGCCACCCTAACACTCAGCAGAAGAGAGCCTTCCAGATCTCGGTGGACCCCCAGGTGGGCTTTGGCTGGACAGAGTGCAGGAGCTCAGGAGTGAGGGCTTGTGCCTAAGGTGCCAGCCCAGGCCCTGGGCCTCCCTTGGACCAGCCTTCTGATAAAGCCTCGGACTCTCTACTTGATGCCCAAATCCAGAAGCATCGTAGAGAAACCAGAGAAAAGCCTCAGGTCGTGCACATCCATTCTGGCTGCTCCCCCAGGTCACACTCGACTGTCAAGGAAACCCACTGACCACTGGTCACCAGGGCTGGAAACCCCCACCGCCTGTGAACACTGATCCAGGCCCTCCTGCAGGTCTCCACCACCCTTCCATCCCGCTGGGGTCTAGGGGGCCTGGGAAGCCATGACCCATACCCCAAAGTTGGCCTTGTCCACATCAGGACATCCCGGGGGCTGCCAGGCCCAGGCCCTGCTGACCTGGCAGCTTGACCAGCCCCTGCCCCACGGTGATCTGCCACCCCACACAGGCACGCACTCACGTGTTAGGTGTCAGCGGGCAGGGCTCAGATGCAGTTTAATCACAAAGATAACAGAGCTGTATGTACGTCACCTGACACCCGTAACCCAGCACCCTCCTTGGGAAGGTAAGGGCCACTCCCCAGCTCACAGAAGGGAGAACGCAGGCTCAGAGAGGGAGGTTCACAAATCCACCCAGGACCCCACATCTGATAAGCAGTCCCACCTGTCACTTGGCCTCCCTGACAAAGGCCTTTTCCCATGACTCAGTTTCCCTCCTGGCTTCTGCTGAGTGAGGAGGGACTCAGTTTCCCAGCTGGCACCACATGGCTCTGAGGGCTCAGGCTGTGACTTAGGGAAGTGAGGCAGCTTGCATAGACACCATGTTTCAACTGTCTGCCCTGGGAACACCCATGCACCTGGGGAGGCTGGCCCTGTCCTGGGCTGTAGGCCAGATCACTGCTGAACCCAGGACCCACTCACCCTGGGGCAGGCGCCGGGGGATAGCCAGCCAGCCCCACACATACCTCCAGTCTGACCTAGAACCACAGATGTCCCACCCTTGGTTGGGTGG